CTCTGGTGTCTAATTTCAAGTGGGAGGAATGTTCCCCTAAAAGTGTGCTTTGCTAAGGCTGAAATGGCTTACACTGGCTGGGAGAGACCTGGACCATGTCTCCATCACTTGCTCAGATCAGGGCGGGACGAGCCCATCTTATTCTGTGCCCTTGCACCCCTGGGCCATCACTTTCATGAGTTTTGTCACATTAATTAATTTTGATTTTAAAAAGTACCATGTGCTTAAGCCTTCTTGAAGAAGTGGTGGTTATGAACATGGTGTTCCCAGAATGCAGAAGCACCACCTGCCTCTGTATTGCCCCACTGCTGTCCCCAGTACTCCTCACACTCACCCTTATCCAAGAATAGCCTGGACAAGGAGTAATAAAGCAAAACTGGAGCTTCACCTCTCTCCCTTTCGCCAGTGATGAAATACAGCCGCAACCCTTCATTTGCACCATCCAGAGCCGTGCTGCACAGGTGGTGCACGGCAGGCGGATGCTCCCCTGATCCACTGGGCAGTAGAAATATGATTTATTCATCGTTGTTTTCCTTTGTTGTTTCCTACCAACCTGATGTACACAGACAACTTTAGAAAAGCGCCATTAGATAAATAATACATCGTGATTGCAGCCAGTGTGTACATGACAAAACATCTGTGTCGGTGTGGGCACAGACAGGGAGTTGTGCTGCTCTAGTGCATGTGTGCAAACTCAGGGCCAGCATCTCATGTCCAGGTGGGTCCCTGTTGTGCCCTCCAGCCTCTGCAGCTTTGCTTTCGCTTGCTACCGTGCCTTTTTATCTATCAGCACAAACCCCACTGCCTGCAAGGTCACAGCTGTGGTGCCAAAAAGAGTCAGCGTGTGAGGATGTGGAGGGCATGTAAGGTACAGGCAAGAGATAGGGTGGCAATCGTGCCATGGGTGCTGGGGAGAGGCAGGGATGCTAACAGCGGGGGTGTGGCAGCAGAACCGCGTCAGTGCTGGAGTTATCCCCAAATACTGGGCAGCACGGGGGTCCTGCCAAGTGCAGGCAGGCTGTGTCATGGCTATAGCTCTAGCACAAGCACAGGCTGCTCTCATGGACCTTGGAGGCTTTGTGGACCTCAGACTAGCATGATGAGTTATACAGGTGACCCCACAAGCACGCTGTAGGATTGGTATCCCCCAGCAGCCCGGTGCCTGAATGTGCCCCGAGTGCATCAGAAGAAACACCTCCTACAGAAGTCTTTGAGAGACCTCTTAAAAGTTTTATTGGTACTATTTTTTTTTGTATCCCTTCACCTGTAGAGCAAGGCATCTTTAGTAGGTTCAGCCCTCAGCAGGAGAGGAAAATTATAACTGATCCATTTCAGAAACCTCTAAAAATGACCTAAAATAACTTTTCTATATATAAAAATGCCACGATTTTAATGTCCATTATCTCATGACCTAGCAGGGCTAGAAAAAGCTATTGTAGATCATTTTTAGTGGTTTCTAAAATGGATTGGTCACACTTTCCCCCTGCACAGTGGGACTTCGGGGTACAAGGATGACTGGACTTTAGAGATGGGGCAGGAGACAAAAACTTATGTCTGTGCTGATGGATCCAGAGCTGTTTTATCCTTGAGGACCACTTGTTGTGCTTTCTCCAGCTGAGCAGAAATGCCAAAGCTGATCAAGTGACAGCTATTTCCAACAAGCTGAAGAGACAGTGGTCAAATGCATGCAAAGCCTGGGACACAACGTGGTGGGAAAGCCACCTCCGTTCCTGCTGCTGGCCTTCTGCAGGGTCTAGAGAAATTATGACCCTGCCACTGGCTTTTGATGCCTGGCACAGCTCCAAATTTTGCCAGAGTGCTGCATGGCTTGCAAGCAGTGTGCCTGGGTGAGATGTGCCTGACTGATGCAGCCTTTCATCCCCTTGTCTCAGGCTTTTGCAGCAAGGCTGGCTGGAGCCTAAGCTGCTGGTAAACCACAACAGACGGGCATTAAATATGTTGGGTTTTCAGAGAGGACATCAGCAGAGCACGTGGGAGAAGTGGCTTCCTGCCATGCAAGAGGTTAATAGACAGATTAGAGAGGGCAGGCGCTGTTTGCAGCTAAAGGAAAGGAGCTCTGCCTTTATAGAGTTCAGCAGCTACATGAGGCGATGGGGAAGTAAATATTTGCCAGGATTAGGGAGGCTGCGTGCAGAAGCCTGGGGAGAAGTGCCCGTGAAGGGTCAATGTGTTGCTCGGACTGTTTTCAGCATTGGGCAGGGGCTGAGAACTGGACAACAGCTGGAGGAGGATGGAGGAGGTTGGAGCAGGATACCCTGCACCCCAGAGGCACTGCCCAAAGCCTCAGGGCAGAAAAAGCCTTTAATGCTCCCTTGATGGCTTTGTTTTCCTCACTGCCTTTCTTGCTCTTTCCATCGGCCGACAGGCTGGCCAACCTCCAAAGACAGCATTACGGAGCGCTGGATCGATTGGAGCCTGCAATTTTATTTGCTCTTTTTAAGAGCCTTTGATGGGCAGCACGAGCTGAGCCGGTGAGCACCTTTCCTGGGAGAGGAGGGAAGAGGACCGGGGCTACAAGCCACCATCTCCCACAGGAGATGGGGACCCTGCCACCAGCCTGGAGAAGGCACTGTGGCAGAGTGGGCAAAGACAGCCCACCTTGCCACATGCACTATGGCAGCTGAGAAAAGGCTTGCAGCCCTCTCCTTAATGCTGCCTGGTGGTCATGGTCAGGGTCACCCATGTAGGGTCAGGGTCACAGTCCCGAGTGACAAATTGCACTGACTCTGTGCTCTCCCCTGGGGTGGACTTTCTGCTCATCAAAGTAGAAAGTGGAGCAGTTGCATGACATGCCCCTTGCAACATGACTGTAGTTCTGGGACTGATGGCTCTTTGGACAGATGACGGTGGCCGGAGAGTCCCCATGAAACAGCTTGTACCTGCCCAGAGAGGGCAATGACTGAGGTGAGACAGGCTTCATAGGTGAGATAGCATCAACCCTTCAGCTGCAGTGAGCTCAGGATGCTGCACAGGCATCAGCGTGGCAGAGATACAAGGGTCATTTTGACCCCCTTCCCCATGCTCTCCTTCCATCTCTACCTTGCTAAAAGACACCAGAGGATGAAAGGTGGAGGATGCTGTGGTCACAGAGACTAGAAACTGCATTCTGGGGCCCCTGTCTTGGAGGAGAGGACAGGATCATCAGGGCATTCAAGGTTGTGCAAAGCGGGCATCCTCAAAGGTGGTTGTGGAGTGGGGGTGGAAGAGGGGAGCAGTTTGGACAGCCCCCCTTCTCCCAGCAAAGCAAGCCTGGAGGCATGAACCCACCCCAGCCTCCTCGATGGAGGAACTAGCACCCATCACCAGAAACCAGATCCGGCGTAATACTGAAGACAATGCAGATTAATCATCCTCAGATGGACTCGTTGCGACTCGGTGTCAGTGCAGCTTCTGGGGCTGTGCGGGCAGGGCAGAGCCTCCTCCTCGGGCAGGGACCTTGCAGGATTTTGGAGATGCTTATACAAGCCTCTGCTGTCTCTACCCGGCTCCCCGGCTGGCTCGTGGTGTGAGATAGCTGAGGACAACCAGGGAGTCGGGCGAGAGGCCCACGGTAGCATCCTCAGCATCCTTCCCCCACCATGAAATAGCCCTCCCAGCCAAAATACTTCCAGCCCCAGCCCGCTTTGCTGCGTGCCAGCCGTTTGCTGCGTGCCAGCCGGGTGCTGTTAGCCCACACTGCCCCCACGCGGTGGCTCGCTCCCCAAATGCTGTCCCTAAATCCACTGCACCCCCTCGACCTCCCTAAAACACCTCCAACATCCCTCCCTCCTACCCCACTCCCCGCCATTGCCCTCTGCAAAGGGCAATGCTGCCCTGCGTTTGCTCCCTCCTCAACCCGGAGGCAGCTGTGGGGCAGAGAAGGGGTTAAGGAGCCGGCGAGGAGGAGGAGGAGGAGGATGGAGCCATAGCAGGGATCAGGCCCTCGTCTCTGGCCTTGCGATCAGCCACTCTGTTTTGCTGTGGAGGGTCTGCGTGAATAATTTAGCTGGGAGGGTCATTAACTAGGTTCTGGCCTTCGTCTGCCAGCTGAAGGCTGAAATAGTCATTAGGAGGAACACACAGCCACTCCTCCCTGCCGGCCCCCTCCTCTCCCTCTCCTTGCTCTGTGACTTTGCTGCCCTTGGTCTCTTGTCATCTGCCCTGCCCCAGGGGCACCAGTGTGAGTGCAAGCCCTGTGCCTCAGCTTCCCCAAGTAGACTGCAGTAGGATACTGCCGCTGGAGCTTGTGGTATTCTCCCAGAAAGCTCTTCTAGCAAAGTCCATCATTATTTTTTGACAATGGGCTCTGCTGTGCGATGATGAGCCAGGATCCCCGCAGCCCACCCTCGCAATCTGTGGTCGTGGCAGACCTGCAGGGTTGACCCTTTCCAGAGGGCACGGTCAGGCTGTTGTTTCACATCAGGACCTGCTTTGGTCCTAGACACATCTCGGAGAATGTTACACCTGGGCTGCACCTAAGCGGGGCTGAGGAGACCTCCAGGAGACCAGCAGTTCCACAAGGCTGCACTTCACAGGAGGAAATTGCACAGACTTGGCTGTAGGGATGCCTCACCCGTTTTGAGTTGATGTTTTGAGGCTCTGGCGTCCTCCTGGTGCTGCCAGTTCACTGGTGCAGCGAGGGCACCCTTAGCCAAGTGTCTCCTTAGCAAGACATGGTGCATTCATGCTGTGGGACCTCTGGTGCAGACCTCAGGGGAAGGAGCTGGCCAGCCTGGGATTGCTCCCTGAACACTTGCATCTCTGCTTTCTGGTTTACATCTCGTTTTCAGTAACAGCAATGGGTAGGACATGTGCCTCAGGTGCAGGGAGGAGAGTGGTTAACTCTGTGATGGGACATGCTGCTGGCACTGTGGTGGGGCAGTGATCAGTGATGTTTGGGCTGAGGCTGCCAGGTCTCTTAGCTTTGTTTCAAACCTTCTGCTTGGAAAGAAGAGCATGTCCTGGGACATACCAGGTGGATGCGTGGGGAATAAGGGCTAATGAAGGAAGGCAAAGAGGCACCGCCACAGTTTCAGACAGCCCTGGTGCACATCAAGCCCAAGGAGTGCATTTTACGGCAAGGTACTGTGCCAAGGTGCTGCAGTTAGAGCCAAAATTTGCTCTTAGCAATGCAAGCTTCCAAGTACCAAGAGAAGTAGACTTTGATATCAGTTCGGATAAGACTTTACTAACTTATAATGGCAAAACTTAGCAGCTGAAAGGTTTCACATCTCACCCTCCTGCACACACCAGCCCTTGGCATTTTGCAAAGTCTTTCTGCAGCTCTGGCTGTGCTCCTATGAGTAGCCCAGAGTGCATGTATGTCTGGAAAAGCCAAGTGCATTGGGAACACTTGTTTGGGTTTAAAAACCTCTTTTGCCTCTAAACTCTGGGACCAGCCAACACGGCCAAGAGGAAAACTGCTTCCCACTTCATGCTCTCATTCCATCTCCAGTTGCCCCTGTGCATTTTGGGAGGCAGGGCCCTGTGATGGGATGCTCTGCCCCACTGCTGAAACCGTTAACACTGCCCATCTTCCTCCAGATCAGCATTTTCTCTGATGGTGTCAGGTTGTTCCTCCTCATCTTGCCATGCATGGTCTGTCCTGGATTTGTCTGGGAGAGGAGGGACATCCACTTGTTCAGGACCTGGTGATAACCCAACCACAATGGCTAATTGCTCTTTCTCTTACCCCCAAAGGAGCCAGTGCTGATGTGCCGGTCCAACAACTACCCGAAGGGTTTCTACTGCAGCTGGCACCTGCCCACACCCACTTATATCCCCAACGACTTCAACATCTCCGTCATGTAAGTGCCTGGGAAGGAAAGGTGCAGTGGGATGAATTTTCGTCCCTAGAGCCTGGAGCAGGGCCCAAGTAGTCCCATGATGTCATGATGCGGTGGGTCTGATCTGTGCTGAGTGTATGGGATCGGTGTCCCAAAAATGAGCCCTGGGACATCCAGACTGGATGCTTGGCACTGGGGCTTTGTCCCAAGATAGTTCCAGCTTCTCTAGAGGGGGCCAGGGAAGTCCTCATCTCTCAGGCCCCTTTCCATGCTCCCCAAGTTCATCCTCTCTGTACGACTTGTCCATAGTGGAGGTTGTGCCCACTGCTTTTTGGCAAATTTAGCAGAGCCATGCTCCCTTCTGCTTTGTGCCAGCTGTGGCCAGGCAGAAGCAGTGTCCCTCACCTAGTACTCACCGTGGCATGGCATTGTTCCCCACCCTGTGCCCAGGTCCTGGCACAGCCCTTATACAGGTGGATGCCATGCATTATCTTCTGGGGCTTGTGTCACCAGCAGAAAGGAGACCCTGTTCTTCTCACAGGAGGGACAGAGACAACTTCAACCCCAGCAGGCTCTCATCTGTTCCTTGGGACCAACACGAGGACATTCACCACAGTGTTTGTGTGGGCTCACACATGTGAGCCTGCAAAATTCCCCGGCAGGAGGAAAGCAGCCCTTTGGCTGCAGTCAGGGCTGATGTGCAGGGACCGTGGGCAGAGTGGGGAGACAGTGCTGCTGCTTTTCTTTCCTCCCTTCCGCAGCACGGGTGCATCACCACATCGAGCACTCTTTTGTAGGTTACAGCTTTCTCACCTCTGCTTTCCAGACACGGCACAAGAGAGATGGTCTGCGAGAAGGATGCCTTTCCCAAAAACAGGTGTCACATCAGATACCTCCAGCTCTTCTCGACGGTGAAGTACAAGGTGACTCTGACAGTCACGAATGCTCTGGGCAAAAACTCCACCAGTCTCACCTTTGACGAGGTCACCATAGGTAAATCCCACAGCAGCAAATGGCCTCTGTAAAGCAATGTTGGGGTTCACTCGCTCTGCACGCAGTGTCACCTGCTGAAGCGACAGGCCAGGGAAGCGGCAGGCTGAGTGGAGCTTCTGCCTATCCCTGCATGAGATGGAGACTGGGTCTGAGCCACGCTGGCATCCTCCCCATGCTCCCCAATACTCATGGCCCTGCTGTAACTGCTGCCAGCACCTGAGCATCCTTGGGCAGCCAGGATGCCCTCAGGCTGCCCCCATGGTGGTTCTGTCAGTGGCCTGGTGCCTTGCTTGGTCTCATCTCCAGTGGTCAGGGTCTCCCGTGGCTGCTGAGCTCCTCTCTGGTTGGGGGGCTGGGAAGGCAGCTGCCACGTACTGGGGCAGAGGGCTGTGAAACTGGTGTGGTCCAAATGGCATTGCCCCTCTTGCCTCTACGAGTGCTCCTTAAAGAACGATTTGGTGCTGGAAGCAGACTCATGGAAATTAAAGTGTGCTATTATCTTCCCCCCATCTCTAGTCAGGATAAAGCCCTCCCTAAGTCGTTCTCCACCAGCCTTTACCTAACATGCTCCTAAAACCTGTATCCCCCACTTTGCACCTCTTTACTGCCCCATCCGGGCAGAGGATGCTGTGCAGTGTGGGACAGGGAGCAGCCAGGATGTCCCTGCTGCTGGCTGTGCCGCAGGGGTGCTGCCCGGTCGTGTTCATGGTGTGGATGCTCCTCCGACTGTGAAGGACCAGCATGGACCAAGCAATTCAGTGCTTGGCAAACCAGGGAGCCAGGCACAGCACTTTTGCCACCAGCTGAAGACAGATTACAGCCGTTGCCATGACAGGAGTGTTCATCCTCAAAGAACAGGAAAAATAGGAGAGGATAGAGTTCAGGAACACGTTGAAAAACAATTTGCTGGTTACATGTGGCAATTACTGGGCCAGAAAAACAGATAAATGAATCCTTGAAGTGCAGCCAGCAGTCACTCTCTGCCTTTGATGTGCTGCGTGTCCTAATCCTAAGCGTCTGGAAGTGCCAGAGTGCAAGAAGAGGAGCTCCGCAGATCTCCCTCCCAGGTTTCCTCTTGCTACCTCAAATCCTAGAAAACATCAAACAAGAGACAAAGTATCAGCTCTGAACAGAATGGGGAAATTCCCTCAGAACAGGGACTGTCCTGCTGTATGCCTGCAGCCACAGTCCACATCTGACGCTTGTATTTGTCATTGCATTGAGAACGTTGATAACAAGGCAAGGAGCTCAGCCGGAAAGTGGTGGAGTTTCAGTCACTTGAGTGCTTTTAAATGGAAATTGTTGTGTTTGTGGAAGATACACTCCTTAGAAATGAGGGTAACCTCCAGCCTGTGGGGCCCAGAGCAGCAATCAAGCCGCATTTTCTGAGTTCCTTGCATTCCCTCCGGCAGGAGTTCAGGGCATTGTCCTGTAACATCTGCATCCCACCCATGCCCTGCCTGGCTTCCCAAACATCTGGTCCACCCTCCAGCACACAAGGGCAACCCCCCTGGGAAGCACACCCAGCTGCGAGTCCTGGGCTTCTCAGCACCGGCACAAGCCGGATCCAGCCCAGCGGTTTGAACTCAGCCTGGGTTGGAGGAGCGGTGAGCAGCGGCCAGCTGAGCGGGGCTGCAATATCACTGCCTCTTGCAAGAGTGCCTAGAGGGGTGCAGGATGCCTAGGCAAGTCCCAGCAGTCATGGCAGCAGGGGAGACCCCACTGGCAGATGCACTGGCAGATGCTCTCACACCCTCCAGGAGGACACTTGGAGAAAGGACAGTGGGTCGGTGCTGACAGGAAGAGCTGTGTCCTGCACCCCAGAGCCAGCCCACTCCCATAACCACTCCAATATCTAGTCACCTTAAAACCTCCACATTTTGTAGAGCTATGAAATTCTCCTCCTCCTCAGGGTATAGTATGGCCACTCTGAATAAGAAGCATAGACACAATGGTGTCTGGGCGTTCAAGCAGGCAGTCAGTGGGCATAGTGGAGTCATTATGAGATGAACTCGGCTGCTGATGACGAACAGCCACTTACCCTGAACAGAGCTTGTCCTTGTGCCATCTCGGTGTTTCCAATTAAAACAAGTGCATTGCGTTGCTGTATTTTGCCACACACCTTCGCACCAGGTTGCCTGCTCTCCCTGCAGAAGCTTCTGCATTTCAGCATCTCTTCTGTCCCTCTTCTCTGTGGCTGCAGAGCCCCAGTGTGGTGGGTGCTGGTGGTGTGGATCTAGCACCCAGTACAATCTCTAGGGATCTCTAGCAGCATCAGCTGTCCATCTGGAAGTTGTGCTGGGTTTTGCTCTGCACTCTGCAGAGGTGGAAAATAGATGGCTCAAGACAAAGCCGCTGCATCAGCTCATGGGAAAAGTCCTGCATGGGAACATCATGACATGTCTGAAATGGAGAGAGGATGTCAACCAGTTACTGCATGATGCTTCTCCTAAAATCTCAGAGCTGGGGATGTCACAGCCTGCCTTCTGTTTTCCCCTTAGCCTAAAGAAAACCATCACTCCTTCTGTACAGAGGTTGCACCCCAGGCATGAAGCCCTGATCTCATGCTCTGCTGGGCTCAGGGCAGCCTGGAACCAACACAAGAGCCATGCAGGGCCTGCAGCAATCCCTCCCAGCACTGTCTGAAGCAGGAGCAGACCCACTGCTGGGTCAGACCACCCACCCAGCCTGGGCAAACACAAAAAGCCCCCTGGGAAGGAGTGTCCTCCTTTGGTTCTGTTTCCTCTCTCGCTCCTCCCTCCCTAGAGCCCCCAGCAGAAAATCTCTTCCCCAGCCACTCAGAAGATGGTCTCTAATTGTGTGGAAAATGACTGGTACTTTCTCTTGCTACCCTGAGCCCATGCCTTGCTGGTGGTCGTGCCGTGCTGGTTATTAGCAGCCAGCTGTGAGGGGTCACTCTGCATTGTTGGTTTCAATGATGGCTGGAAAAGCTTTTCCAGCCGTCTGGCACCCATCTCTCATCGGTAGGAGATCCGGGCAGTCTTCCTCCTCATCTCGCTCCTGGAAATTGTTTTCATGATTACATCGTCTGCAGAGTATTGATATTAATAAAAAAGAGCATGGGGAGGGCAAGGTTCTGCAAAGCCCTGCAGACATCAGGGCTCCAGCCCAAGGCAGGAAGGTGTGGGAAAGGATTTGGAGGGGAGAGGGATTGGAGGCAGAGGAAGGTGCCAGTGAGGAATGAAGTGGTGTATCAGGAGCTGCCACTTCCCTCATGATGGCTGGGGCAGCATGGGTATATTTTTGACCTCCCAGGACACAACCCCATTTTCCTCACTTTTATGTTTCAGCCCAAGATCCAGGTAGCTGGTACGTGCATCCCCCAGGAAAGCAGGAACATCACTAGCCCACAGCAACAACGACATCCCATCTCAGCACATTTCTCCTTGTGTGAGCCTGGGCTGGATTAGCAGGAGAAGGTGCACAGCATTAAAAGAAGGAAGGCAGCCTTGAATAGGGCCTTGCAGGCATGGGTGCCTTCATCAGATATTCCACCTATCCCTTGTATGACCTTGGTAAGGTCTTCTTTTCCTCCCAGTTTTGGCTCTGGGACAATTAAGATGCAGAGCATCTCAGAGGGGCTGCATGAGTACAAACGCACCCACGTCTGTATGAAATTCAGCATCTCTGAACACGGGTATACAGTTGCCTAGGCAGAAGGTCAGTTCAATTCATACTACTTAGGGAGGCAGAATTAAATTACCTAGACTGACATTTGGCTAAGACATGGAGTTTAATATCCCTCTGCTCATGGAAAATGCCAGGGGATATTTAACAGCCGCAAGGGATCCATTTTAGTGCTCATTGGAGAGATGGGATGGGTGACAGGCCCCTCCATCTCAGGAGGTCTCAGCTGCCTTTCTGAACCACTGACTTCTTTCCGGGCTATGTCTGATGACAGCCAGGGGCAATGGATGGCTAAAGACCCGCAGTTGAACGTGAGCACGCAGAGCCTTCAGGAAAGGCTTTCTCCGCAGCTTTTCTTGCATGTGGAGCCCTCGCTCGGACACGGCAGCCAAAAACCAAATGGGAAGACCTGTGAGTCGCCTTCTGGCCAAGTTCCCTTCCCAGGAATGTCTGATGATGGCCCCTGAGCTCTGCAAGATAGTATTACATCTGGTTCTGTAGCTGCTTAACCAGTATTCAGCCTAATGCCCATCGTCCATTATTATTATTACTATCATTGCTTTTATTACATTACTGCCTGCAGACCCTCGCTGAGGACAGGACTCTATTATTCTGGCAGATGTACAGCCAGACAGATCCTGCCTCGCCTTGTGTGAGCTAAATGGAGGCAGACAAAATCTGGAGAAGGAGGAGCACTCATCCCTGTGTGTCGAGCCGGTACCCGGGAGACTGGAGAATAAAGGACTCCTTCAAGGTCATATAGAAATAAGGGAGATTAACACAGCCTGTCTCCCTTTCCTTCTCATCTGGCCCCTGATGTTCCCCATGATGAGCACAGCATGATGAGGTCTGTCCCAAGAGATGCAGGTCTGTCCTTACTGCTGTCTGTGGTCCCCTCTCAGGGTTCTCACATCCCTGCTGCCTTGGAGGGACACAGCAGGAACAGCTTTGGCTTTGTGCTTTTGGAAGAGCTGGCACTGCTGCACTTTCTAGCCTGGGCAGGAGTCCCACAGATGGGGTGACACGTGGGGAGGTAGCAAAGGCTGATGGTTTTCCCATTAACCCACAGCACCGTTTGAAGGCTCGCTGCAGCTGGAGGCACAGCCTCTTTGAAGGCTGGGCTCTGCCGTGCTTACTCGGAGCTGGGGCAGCCCTCCCCTGCACACCAAGGACAGTTTCCAGCCTGCAAGAGCAGACCTGGAGGGTACATCCCTGCAAAACAGGCACCTCAACATCATGGCATGTTGGGGTGTGTTTTTTGGCTTTCCTCCAACCTGCCACAGTGGCATCTCTCATTGCTGCCCAGGCACGTGTGCCATGCCCAGCACAACCACATTTAAGCATCCCACTGCCCATGGCTCCAGGCTGGGATGCCAAAGAGCAGGGCCAGGCTCCCTGTGTTACCCCAGGGAGTATCCCATCACATCTGTCCCCAGCCTGGTGCTTTCCATCCCATTTCCCCTCTGCAGAGCTGCAGCTCACAGTCATCTGCATTTGTTCAGCTGAACAGATTTTTGTTTGGCAAAACGAGTCCGCCAAGCCAGCACTGGATTTATACTTTTCCGTATGCGTTTGGACTCCAAGTCCCTGTCGATGGAAGCTGATGTCCAGCCCAAGCCCAGGGATTCGAAGCAAGTGGAGGAATTGCACAGCCATCTGGAGTAGCTCAGCACAGCACAGCCTCAGCAAGTCATCCCTCCTGCCGAGGATAGAGCTGTAGATGAAAGACTGTGTCCTATCCTGCCACTGAAAGGGTCAGACCCTCACTAGCTGCTTCCCAGGCCTCCAGGAACATCCTCTGAGTGCCAAGTGCAGTGGAGATGGAGGAAGCTCTCTTTCCATCTATTTGAGCAGAGGGAAGGAGGTGGGAGGCAGGAGGGGCTGTCAGGGTGGTGGTGAAGATGACAGTGAATGAGGACTATCAGGGTGTGTGCCAAAGTGCTGAGCTGGGTTCTGTCTCAGGGAGGGGATATCAGGGCCAATTCTGGGTCCCACCAAGGTGCTTGGTCTGTGGCTTCATTTCAGCAGCCCTTCTCTGCCTCACCTGCAGCAGCCTTTCTCTGCCTTCACCACAGGAGCAGGTTTGAAAGCATCACAGGCTGGTTTCTCCAAAGAGGAGCAAGCAGTGGTGGTGCAGGGAGGGTGTCTTCCTGGGGACAGTTGCTGCAATGCCACCATCATCCTGGAGCAGAGATGTCAGTGACCGGCTCGTACATGATTCTGCTAGCAGCAAAGTGAGCTCATATCAGCCTCTGATGCCATACAGCTTCAAGCAGAGAGAGAGATGTCCTTCGTGCATAGAGCAGGTTGCAGGTAGCAGGCAGGCAGCTAGAGAAGGAGCAGCTCACTTGCCACCACCACCTCCTTCCTCTCCCAGGGGAGGACAAGCCCCACTGTGGACACCACTTCCACCTGCAGCAGGTGAACCCTTGGGGTGAGCATGGAAGAGAAGACCTCTGAGTGTAGGGCAGGAACTCTGGCAGGCAGAGAGTAGCTGTAACTTCAAAACATAGCTCGCAGCCAATTAATATTCACTTGTAATACTTGTCGGGTAGCAATACCCCCATATCCCAAAAGCAAGGCAGGGCTGAGGGAGAGATGGTGGAAGGTGCTGTGGTGGAAGGTGACCACAGCACTCCTTCATCTTTGGCAAATATGGTGGGCCAGCTCTTTTAATCCCCAAAACCCCAACTCTAAACCCAAGGGCCAAATTCTGACATGTTACCATGAAGTAAGATTTGAATGTGTGTCGGACTCCCAGAAATGAGGAGGTGTGAGGAAAGTGCAGGATCTGGACTCGGTGGGCTCCTCCCCTGACTCAAGTAGCCCTGTGGAGGAGGGATGATCTGCCCTAACCTGCCCTGGCCAGGTCATTTCCATGAGTCTCCAGCACTGCCATCTCTTTGGTGGTGATTATTTTGAGCTAGAACAGCTGTACCACTGACCTGGACAAGAAAGGGTGATTTCCCTCTCACTAGTTTGGGAAAAAGATGTTCTGCTTGTTGGCTGCTCCCCTCAGAACGCACATGGTGCAAAGGCCAACCAGCTGTGCTGAGGAGTGTAAGGAAGGATGCCATGTGCAAAGCTTTACCAGCCACCCTCTTGTCTTCCAGTAAAGCCGGACCCTCCAGAGAGTGTGGTGGCCAAACCTGTGCCCAATAACCCTCGGAGGCTGGAAGTGTCATGGCAAAACCCCTCGTCCTGGCCTGACCCCGAGTCTTTCCCACTCAAGTTTTTCCTGCGATATCGGCCTCTCATCCTGGACCAGTGGCAACACGTAAGTGATGCTGAGCAGGGGGAGCTGGTGGCTGGGAACAAGTTGCTCTGGGAAGAGGTGTGGACAGGGACCAAAAAAGTGTCTATTTATTGCCCAGGCAATCCAGATCCTTTTCCTCTGCTTCTCTCTCTCTTCCTCCTTCTCTCTTACCTCTCCATCTTTCTTTTAACTCACGTTCTGCCTGTGAATGGCTCTGCAGGCTCTCCCTGCTCCACATTTTCATCCACGGCCCCTATCTACTTTCCATACATATGTTCTATATAAAACCTGCCAACGAGATGTAAAAGGCATTTAAAGTATAAATGTCACCACATTTAAATGCGCCTCTGCCACATTTAGATTTTGAACCGAAGATAAAATACCGCTTGCCGTAACTCAGAGCACAGTCACAGAGCGATTGCGGCGATGTTATCGTATTTCTTACTTTTATTTCTTGTTTCTTTAAAAAAAAAAGTAGTCAGTGAAATCCTTGGCAGCCCGGAGGACAGATTTCATTTGTTAGCTGCAGGAAGATAACGAACAGGCTGACTTGTTTTTTTTTTTCCTCTGTGCACTGCTTGCATGCTCAGCTTGTGGAGGGAAGCAATCTGCCGCTCAAGGAGAGGTGCTTCTACACTGGTGTGGCTCATGCAGCATCCCCTCTGTGCCAAGCTGGGCTAGGAGAAAGCTAATTAACTGCTTTGCTTGTTAAAGCATTTTGCCCCCCCAGACAAAAGACAACTAGGAGGCAGCACCCAGCCCACCTGTGAGAGAGGAGAGCTTACCTGTGTCATGGAATGAAATGGGATCTTCCGCTGGCCAGTTCTTCTTGGGGAGACAAACGCCCAGGAGGTTCTGCTCCTGTCTCTGCAACTTGTTGATGTCTCAGCAACTTCTTCTTTTTGCGTTGTTTTTTTTTGACGAGGCAGTGCTGCAGGTTGTGCTTCAAATTGAAGCGTTTTCTGATGGCTTTGAAAATCAGAGCAGGATTGGGAGAGGGTTTTTTGCTTGTCCCTTTCCCCTTTGCTTCCCTCCTGTGAGCAGAAGATCATCCATAGAGCATCCCGAGGGGTAAGAAAGAAGATGTGGAGTTTGCATATTGGTTTGCTGTGGATGTGGTTGGTTTTTTTTCCACTTGCGGGAGAATTTCTCAAATTGTAGAAGCTGTGAAAAAAGGGGAAGAATTAATGGAAGATACAAAACAACATCCATTTTTTTAAGGGGTGAAGCTGTTGTGGAAAAAGCTGGTATTTTTACCCTTCCACAGTTTGATCCAGACTTGCACTCTGCAAATTCAGGGGTTTGCACCCAAAAATGGTGGGAGAGCCAATGAGCTGCCTCCCACCTTGACACCCTCAGAGTGTCCAGTCCCTTCCTCACTGAGTATTAGGTATCGTATTTGCCAGGTCAAGCCATGTCAGTCCCCTCGCCACAGGGCCTGCAAGAGGATGCTGTGGCCTCTCCATCAGTGCCCTCGGGCAGGCAGTGATGGTGGAAAATACATGCAGGTATTGACAACACCGATGGCCGGAGAAGACAGTTCTAGGGGGCTAAAAAACACATTTTGCCTCTTTAAAGATACCCTGAGCTGTGGAGAGAGCTTGAAGTACCAGCCCGCTCTGCTGGGTGCAAGGAGGTCTGGGAAGGGCTCGTCTCCCAGCATCCTGGCAGGGCACAGCAGTCCTGGGTACCACTTTTAATCAATATACCCTTGCAAGAGACATGTCACCTGTCACTAGCTGATGGAGAAGTGTGTTTGGGGAATAATTTACTTGGTGAGCAAGTGCAAGCATTCAGGGAGTGAGGTACCAGCCTTGTTTTCTGACTTGCTGCCCCGCCAGCTAGGTAATGAAAAATCTGATTTGTGGATGATTTGAGGAAAACTGCCACAATTCATCAGAACAATTATTTGCGAAGCCTAATTCAATCATCTCCCAAACACCAGGGGATGGCCGCTCTGCAGCAGTTGGAGCTGCTCTGACCCCAGACCCCACCTTGGCACTCTCAGCCTGCTTAGCCCAGCTGGGCACACTGCAAATGCAGGGGTTTGAGCCCAGAAATGAACCTTGCCGATGCTAGCATTCCGAGAGCATGCCCAAGCCATGCTAAGCTCTGCTTTGCTTGTTGGCATTTTGGGAGAGTGTTCCAGTTCCCCCAAATCCAGTCAGGAAAGGGAAGGACATGGTTTAATAGGTCAAAGTCCACCTAAACCATCCAGCTTGTCTTTTGGTGCCAATGCTGGGTCTTTCCTCGAAGGGACAATTGTCCTGAGAAAGGATGCAATAGTCATGCATGCCATGCTGGGTTGGGATTGTCCTAATTCTTGCTGAGGCAAAGATATCCCACCAGAAGCTGCTACCACTCCTGCTGTGCCACCCTGGCTGCTGGCATGGAAAAGTCATAGCACACAGCCTGCTTGGTGACAACAGGGCAGCTTGGGAGCCCACCAGAGCAGGAGAAGTCTCTGCCAGCAGCCAGGAGGAGCTGGGTAACCTCATGCTCTGGTAGATCCCTGTGTGCCCAAGGCCCCTATGCAGAGTCCTGTCCCTGCGTCCTCGTGGAAACACACCCGTGTACTGGCTGTGGGTTTTCAACCTCTCCTGCGGCTGCCTTGGCAGCCTCACGGGAAGCCCACCATCCCTGTGGGAGCACTGGAGACTGCACAGAGCCAGGAATATCCACGCAGGCCCTGCTTGCATGTGGCGTTTCTTGGCAGAAGCATCCTCTCCCCTTTCTCCCCTCTGCCTTATCTTTTCAGGGTCTGATTTATACACAGCACCTCAGCAGGCAGGACCGAATGAGCACTAATAGGATCAGATGGATGTCAAGCTGTCGAATACCATAGGGCCTGATTCAATCAGCGTCTGCTTTCTCCCAGGCTCTCTTCCTTTCAGGATTTTAATAATGCCAGTGTTTGGCACCAGAAGATGAAGCCGTCCGTGGCAGGAGCAGTGGATCTTATCGAGACCGCCACTGCACAAGCTAACCATAAATGCAGTTTCCTCTGTCCCGAGAGAGCAGAGTGATGCTTAGCCCAAGCATTCCAACCCCCTTAAAACAATATCTGGGGCTGACCCAGAGCTGGGGGAGCACCTTGTCCTCTTCCCAGTGTTTTGCACTCCCTTTCCCCTGCTCAGCAGCACCTTTCCACTCAGGCCACTTAGCAGCTCTCCTGTTGCAGTTTGCTCTGGGAATTATGATGATGTGCTCTGGGAATTGTGATTGCAGAGAGAAGAGGCTGACGAGATGAGTTTCCACGTGAATGTGCGGCGAGGCTTGTGCCAGATGCTCATTGCACCATCGCGCCGCCTTGCAGCAGCTCCCTCTAACCTGGGCACGGGCCTTTCCCTGCTGTTTGGGATTCAGCCACGTCACACTGTGTCACATCGGGTGGCCAGCAACTCCCCTCTGCCCCACCAGCACTGAACTTACTCTGAAACTCAAGCAACTTCATAGTCACACTCCTCCCTTTCTGGAAGAGGAACTGGCGGTTTCTCTGCTGCCAGAAGAGAGATGAGATATTTGTAGCCTAAACAGGTTTTTTTATTATCTCCTTTTGGCAGAATCTCCCCTTCTGTCTCCTAAATATAAGACATTAAATGTTTAGGGTATCCTTTATTTTTCTCCTGCTTTTAAGTTTGTAATTCAAGCCAGATTAGCGTGGTTTCCTCTTCTGTTTTATAGCCCCATCCTGGCCCCAAGCGAGCCCTCCTAATGCTCTCAGATGTTCCTCTAATGGCTTACCTAGGCTGGAACTGGATACCCTTTCCTAATGGATTGTTAATAGCCTGTTTCTGGTTTTACAGGCTCCTTCAGTTAACTCGCAACAGCAGCAATCACCGAGCTCACACGTGCGATCCCCCTGTGAGCATGTCTGCACGCTCACCCTGAGATGCAGGCGGGTGGCCAGGCGCCATCCCAAGCATCTTTGGGAAGCCCAGAGCAGGTCTTGCACCTAGTCTGCTCCCAACACGTAGCATGTGCTGGAGCAGGATCTCCCCTACTCCCAGTTTTCTGGGGGAGTCTCATGTGCTGAGCACTGACCAGCTCAGTGCATGTCCCAGGAACGTGTCAAGGCTCAGAAGGTAATTCTTAAGCAGTGTCAGAACTGTCTGCCAGACTGAGGGAGGATTTCCTCCAGTGGGTTGCCAGCAATTTGCAGATGCCGTCCTGAAGGCTAATTGAACCCACTGGCCGCACTGACAACATGAAATGTTAATGAACCGGGAGGCGGGCTGCGCCTCAGATCTTGAGATTTGCAGTAAAAGGTCATGAGATATTTAAAGCTAATAATGTGGTTGGGTTCTCCCCTTCCTCTTCTTTTTTGAAAGTGTCAGGGCCACGTCCATGAGCATTTGCAAAGGCTGGAGACATCCTCTTTGGAAAAGCAAGGAGAGGTATTTCCATTATCCCAGGATTTTAGGAACTGGGGCCATAGACTGCCCCCGATTGTGCCCATCTGCGGCAGCTCTGCTGCTGAGCAGCTCTGATCTGGGCAAATGATGGGGATTTGGGGACAGGAATGGGCAATTTGTCGATATTGCCAAAAATTTAGTGATTGGGTTTGCTGGCGTGAGGAAGACTTGATACTCTGGACTGGCTACCATCACTTATGTGTCAGGGGTGGCTGCCAAGGTGGGGTCAGGCTCATCTTCCAAGGCAGAGCAACATTTTTTGGTCAAACAGGTGAATTTCACAGGCTGTCTATGGAAGCTCGTGCCTTGGGACAGCCTGAAATAACCTAAAAGAATGTGGTAATGCATGTCCTACCTGTGATGGGCAAGGGGGAGGGATGGAGCTGGGGAAGGCAAGTGGTACCACCACCTACTGCAGCTGTGTCCCCCCCAGCAATGTCACTTTGCAGCAGATGTGCTTCTTTGTGTCCATTTGCATCCCCCCATGCCTCTGCCTCTACTCCCGCTCTTTGCGAGGCAACCTTGGCAAGGAGGTCACCCTGAGGGAGCTCGGTTACAGCTTCACGCCTGGTAGCTTTTATTGCGGCACTTCTCTCTCATCTCCTC